AACAGAAACTTAAGAGATTTGCTTGGTCTTTAGTGAAATGATATTTGATTGGCTAATGTTCCACTGCAATAATACAAGATATGGATCAGGAAACAGGACACAATTGACGAATCACAATTAGTAGTCAGGTACAAAGCTGTTCAGCTGCCTACACCTTTGCCACCTACTCGACTCAGCTCCTTGCCGCCTGCTGCTGCTGCTGCTGCTGCTGCCGACGCTGATGTTGCTGCTACTGTTGCTGATGTTGCTGCTGCTGTTGTTTGCTTATTATTGGATGGTAATGAAAATTTTATGATGGCGACGCAAACGACGATGGAGAGCAGTCGTCGGCGAAGGCGGAAGCATTGTGCCAGCCTGTGCTATGTTTATGTGTGGGTGTGTGTGTGTGTGTGTGTGGGAGCCAGGGCCAGAGCTCGAGCACGGTAATGATAATGAGACAATGACGATGATTGATTGATGAGTTCTTTTGGTGGTTATTGTTGTTATTGTTGCCCACAGCCGGTTGCAGCAACAACAACAGTTAATTAGTGCACACGTCTTGACTTGGCTTTTGCATATTTCAGTTCAAAATATTTCAAATGGAGCGCGGCATCAAATACAGCCAAAGAAATGAAGGCCTTTCATTTGATTTGCTGTTGTTTTCGTTGATGTTATTGTTCTCGTTCATCTGCTTTAGATATTTATGAGCATATAATAACTCTTTCAACTCATAATACGCCCACACACACACACAAAGGCGCATGAATATATAATTTCACACACACACACACACACAAATATACATTAATAGATACTTTCAGACAAAACTGGCTTTTATGGCTGCTTGTGGCTTTTGCTTTTTCACCAGGCACTTTCACTTCAAGGCGCAAAGGTTGCTGCGAAGTGGCGGGTTGCCCGGGTAGGTGTTCGGGTTAAATTTTACTTGTGTATGTAACGCACGCACACACACACACACACACACTCTCTCACACACACAGGCACACTTGATATATGCTGTGGCTGCGAACTGAACATTTAAGCAAACGTGACCTTTGATCGCCAGCATCTCCATCTCAACTTCTGTCGCTTGCTGCTTGCGCAACCCAAATCAAAATTTTTGCCAACCGAGTTGAGTAATTTATTTTATTGTTGTTCAAATTAATTTAAACAACAACAGCTACAACGTTGGCGTGACCCCTTTTCTTGTATTTTATTTTTCTTATTGGTTTTGTTCTTCTTATGTTAACGTCGTGTAGCTCACAATTTCCGGCCACGCCTTACAAGGCGAACAGCCTGCTATCTTAACCACAGCTCCTGTTGGCCTTTTTTACCCAAAAATATGCCAAATTAGAGATGGTCGGCATATGCTTTAAAGCTTTTATTAGGAAACTTTATTTGTTTAGCTATGAACAGAGATCATCAAGTCAATGAATAAAATTGCTTGGAAACTCTTTCTATCTGCCTCTCGCTCATTTTCTCGGAGTGTATTACATTGTATCAATTTTTAATAAATATATTTATTAACTTACTTTCCCTCAAATTGATATGGAAATGTCACGCACTCATCTCCAAGTTCAACTCTCAACTGGCTGCAAACAACATCAAAATTTGCTATTGTTGTCAAATGTCAACAGTTTAAAGTGTTCATTGTTGTTGTTGCTCTTTATGCGGCTCTTGAATATGGCCTTTTGTGTTCCTTTATATGCACCGCACATTGTTGATACATAAGTATTAATTGAAATTTTAGTGGCAGACCAGGACAAACATACAGGCGCACACGCATCAATACGCGCACACGCGCACATGTCCGTCCTTTAGAGACACGCTGCGCTGCTTTCAACCAGCTAACCACCCACGCACCACCCCACACAGCGAGTTCCCATTTTGGTAGCAACTTGTTATACAGTTTGTTTGACTGGCGGCTTTTGGTTTGTCTCCCATGTTGCATGCGGCATGCTAAGTTGATGCTGTTGTTATTGTTATTGTTATACCCTGTAGCTGTACAGTGCGCATGCATAAAGGTTACTTCGATCCTGCAAGCAGAGTCTCAACGATATGCCTATGCCCATCTCACTCAGAAGCCAAAATCTGTGGTTTCATCATTTCAACTTATTGCAGTTTGCTCAGACCAGTTCTTAAGATATAATATCTACTACTAAAACTAACAAGCACCGAACCTCTGGATATATGTTCACATTAAACTGACATCAATCATAATTGATAAATTAAATGCGCTCTTCTTGTCTGACATACTTATAATGCTAGAGTTTCAGCATAATTTATTAAATATTTGACATGCATCTGTATGTTTATTCCGCTCGCTTCTAAGATTGACCTAGCGTATGTTCTGGCCGATCACATTTATTGTCACCGATTTTGGCTGCTGTTGTTGATGGCGACGTCGTTGCTGCAGCGGTTGTTGTTGTGCCTAACTGCGTGTGACTAAAATCGATAGTCTATTTACCTATTTGCTCGATTTCCACTGACAGTTGGCACGTGCCGTTGTGCGATTTTGTGGTGCTGCCGCGCCGCTTGCATTTGGCACCTGCAACCAACAACAATTAATGTTACCAGGCCTTAGTCAGTTTTAATATTTATTATTGTGGCAGCTATTTCTGTCAATTGTCGTAGGCACCTCTCATGTCGAAACATGCTATTTGATTTGTCGCACATAATTAACGCCGGCAACTGTTTGATTTCAGCTCTCTTTCCGTAATTAGAATGGATCATATAGCAACTGCGCATTGTACTTTCTGCCTCAAACAAGAGTCGAATTTCGGGAGCCCGCAAAAACCAGTTTGGGTAAAGTTCTGCTGCATATGACAAGCGTGCTTTAAAGCATGGAAGTGGGGCCTGTTGAAGTCGAAGTAAATAAAGAAATTGATCATAAAAACAGTATTCACACATTTTCCGCAGTTGCGGATGGAATTTCCGAATTGCTGAATTGCCGGAAAAACTATTTAGGTTTTTAGGTTTTTATTTCAATTTGACAATAAGCTTCAAGCTGATTGTGCGAAACTTAAAGCTCCGTCCAAATAACCTTTGATTGTCATTTTCCACCCATAAAGGCGGATTTCACGAAAAGTGTGATATAAGAAATTGTAATAAATATGTCAACGCAATTCAAAACTGTACGTGGCCGTGCAATAAGTAACTAGCGCAGTTCCTTCTCACCCCCTCACTATCCTTCGCTACGGCCTCTGTCGCTGACCACATCGTTGCAAAAGCAAAAATTTCAATATTCGTCTAGAGCTCAGACAAAATGTTATTTATGAAATCAATTTACTGAGATCTAAGCCAGCGCCATTTGTCCTTACTGCTAACAAAGTCCGATAGCTATTTGGCATATAAACAGATTCCTGAGAATCTAAGACTTAGTTAACTTATGCTCGTATCAAAAAGTTTGCTTTTACAAACCGTAGAATACAGATATACATACTCATTAAAACTATTTTAAAGGATAAATTCGAAAGTTTGCAAATTAAGCACGCTGTGTATGTGACCCAAGCCAGCAGCAACGCAAAGCCCACAAAGCAGATGCACTTTGTGTTTAATTCCAAACAAAAAATATGTATATATAAATATATATAAATCAGCCGCTCCCAGTTCCATTTTCATATTAATTTCATAGAAACTGACAGAGCATGCCTAATGGAGAAAAAATAAAATGGAATAAACAGCTCGGCCTGCAGCTCTGAATTTAAAAAAAAAGTACTTAAGCCAAATGGTAAATAATTTATTATAAATACATCACGTTATGATAGTATTATTGTGTAAAAAATATTAATCAAAAAATGATTATAAGGCGAGATTGATAAGCATATTAAATCAATTGAATTATATTTCAAAATTATTATGAAAATATAAGCAAACTATATAAAAAGTTCTTCAATTCCGCGAACCAGCTGAATAAATATTTAAAAAATGGAAAGCTGACAAACATCCTTATTGAATATTTTTCCCTTCTAGTAGAAGCAATAACAAATGTTAAATGTTCTTCAATACTTGTAGAACCAATAGCGAAAATTAAGAAAATCAAATTTTACTAACAACATCTTCGAGCCATGCTTTAGACAGCTCGCATTCCTTTCAATCAAATAGTGCTCACATAACAAAATATCCGTATCTTGATAATAACAAAATATAACTTTCACATTTAGTTTTTCTGCATAATAAAGACCTGTGCATGGAAGCTGGACATATGCCCATGGAATTGATACCAGAATCGTGTTCAGAGCATGAAAATTGTTTTGCACATCGAAATTCCGAGCTAAGGGCTGATGGCCATTTCCGTGGAATCTATACGAAAGTCGTATTCAAAACATGTCTGTTGGGACTTCCTATGAAATAACAAAACATGCTAGCCTAATTATTTCCAATTATTGGTAATAACTAATGCCCACAACTATGATCCAAGCAGGGATTGGTTTTTCCATGCATATACATGTATATGTGTCTACACAATAGCTGTTTGTTTGTATTGAATGAAGCTGTTGCATCTGCAAGCACGCACGCACGAAGCCAGGCACGCACGCAGCCAGACACGAGAAGCTTTGCGAAAAGCTTTTGCATACTTTTATGCTGGTCGCTGTGCTCAGCGCCAGCATTCAGCATTGAAACAAGAAAAGCTTTCACATTGTCATTTCCCCAGCCTGGTCACAGCTGGCAACTGCCAGCTGCCATTTGAATTTTGGTTTTCTTTTTTTTTTTTTTTTGTTGTTGTCGCACTCGCCGACTGACTAGCTAAACTGACTGGCTGACAGAGCGGCAGGGTGACAAAAGCGCGAGCATGCCATGCACTTGTGGCGCTTTTGTACCGCCCGCCCGCCAGCCACCCACAGACACCCATCAGCCCGCGCCACCCACTGAGCACCTTGGCACACTCGTTCGTTTTATAGTGCGCTGCGCTTCGGATTTCGCTCGTGCGGCGTCTGCGACTGTCGGTTGTCGACAGTCGACTGTCGTATGGCAATAGCATTGGCGTTGGCTGTGGCTGTGTGGCTGTGGCCCTGCTTGAACGCATGCATCAAGTGTAACAACAGTTTAGTTTTTCCCGGGAACCTGAAGCAGCGTGTTGTTAGGCGCTGCTGCCCAGTGCCAAGCTTGACGTACACAACAGCAGGCGACGCAGCGACAGTAAAGTCAGTAACTGAATTTTGAATCTGAGCCTTGCTCAAATCGACGCTTTTGTGTGCTTAACCTTTTACTCTGTGCTCTTGTTATTGTTCATTTTTTTTTGCTGGAATTTTTTTTTTTTTTGTTGTTACGCCTAATCCGAATTTAAAATCTAAAATTTAAATTCGTTGCGTGCATTTGTTTTTTTTTTTTTTAATGTGTCATTAGAAGCAAGCAAGAACTCCATCAATATCAAGCAAAATAAACTGTTTTCGAAATTCAGCTGGAAATAAAATAACAGGTATTTAAATTTGAAATCAAGTTACAATTTCATTAAATTTACAAGCTCGAGACTTTTTAGTAATTTGCTTAAAATTGTTTTATGCTGCAATGTTAATTTACAAAAACTATGTCAAATGTGTGCATGTTGTTTTTCTGTTTGGTTTTCAACGCAAAAGTTTTTAAAAAGTTTGAAGTGAACAAAAATAAAAACGCATGAAGCTTGTGATAGTTAACTTATTTAAAAACGAAATGCAAATAACTAACTGTCAACAAGAATATTTTGTGTATGCTGCATTTGTTTTTTTCGACAGTTTCATTTTAATATTTTGTATGCTTAGTGCGACTGCCCCAAAAGGTATGCTATTAAAAATTTAAAATAAAATTTAAATAGAATTTTAATAAGCACAAGTAAACCGCATTTATAAAAACAAAACCCGTTGAAGCTTGTTAAAAATGGCAAGTTCACAAAAGTTGTATTTGCCTGACATGCAAAACCTATTTGCAAACTTGTGCTGGACAACCAAAGCAGGGCAATTAAGGGTAGGGTTTACTATAGATTTCTTATTTATTATTTAAATGTATGCACATACATATATGCACTGTGTTTATAAATATGCCAAGCAAAGAGTGTGGCCTGGTCAAGGCATAAAGTTATTAGCTTAACACAAACTCATAAACCTACCGTGTTTGAGTTCGACGGCTTTCTTATTTGGCCGTTATCATGGCGTACCATTCCGGAACTGTTAGATAGTAAAGCTCTGGCTACCCCATAATCGAACTAATCACCTCGGCCAAAACGATAATGTATTTGTAATCTACATTGATCGTAAATAAACTCATGGCTTGTCATAATTAATTCAATGAATTTCTCTGCATGTGTGTGAATTCGTGTCATAAATAATAAACGCATCGATGGTTCGATTACGATTCCGATTTCGAGTGGCCTAGGGCCAATACCACATTTTCCCCTGCAATGCATAATGTGCGCGATTCATTAAATATGCAAAACTTCGGTTTAGTTCTTTTTTTGTTTAAGCGTATTTCTCTAATCCACCTGTGCTTCAGTCTTTGTGGGTGTGTTTGTGTGTGTGTTTGATGATTTATTGTTACGTGGTTATTGCTTTACCTTATATCGCAAATGGAACCACCCTATTTTATACATTGCGCTCCAGGGTGCCTGTAAATGGAGCATAGTAACTCATCAGGCAAACATTTTGGCTCCACTTGCCCATTTCTAGTTCTTCCTTTGACAGAGACTTCACTCAATCTTCCTTATAGAGGTCAACAGCAGATTCGCAATATCACCTAGCTAGATCGTTATAAGCTCGACTTCTCTTCGAGCAGCGCGTGAGGGTATTGCATCTTCGGCATTATTAGAAAATACATAGAATAACCGCGCTGATATTTCTTTGCATTTGTTTTTATGATGCATTGCTCATCTTTTACTTTTAATTTATTTACTGATATGCCAAACAGTAATCGCAATCGATAACGTAATAAAAATATTTATACAATTTTTATTTTGTTTTGTATTGTTTTTGTTTTTGTTTTTGGTTTTGGTTTTGGTTTCGTTCCCCTCTCACACTTATTGGCATCGGAACGATAAGGATAAGCGAGGCGAAAGCATTAACACAGCCATTGCCATTGCCATTGACGCTCTGGTCTATTACTCATCAAAAATAATCATCAAACGCCCCATTGTCATGCTCTTGACATTATCATTGGCATTGGTGCATAAAAATTGGCCTAAATTAAAGTGTTGCGCCTCGAAATCGGCACTTGTGTAGATTTTTACAGAGTTCGCTTGGCTCAGTCGATAAATATTTACGTTTTCTTCAAGCACGCCCCAAAAGTCGTTGTCCTTGACTGAATCTGATGAAAAGCAAGATCATGATCTCCGCTTTGTCTCTAAAACTTATTTCATGATATGTGCTATATATTCCGCAAAGCCAATAGCTTGTACACCTCCGAATAATGCAAAACATTTCGCCTCGGTTCAACCTGCCTATTGCCAATCGTTAATTGCCCAAGCGCGTCGAGTGCTACGCTTTGAGATATGCACAAAGAAAAATTAAATGTTCTTTTGCTTTTTTATCTTCCATTTAAGAAGCCTTTTGAGGAATTCGAATTAACACAATTTGGATTCATTGCAATCCGACTTAAGATTGGCTTGATCGACGAAAATAAAAGTATCTGGTTGAAACCTGTTCCGTTTGCCAGCTTGGGTCTAGGCAAAGGCATAGAATCACCTTCAACCCTGACATTTCTGTACCTTCTCATTAATTTATATACTACGCACACACATTTTATATTGTCTTGCAACACTTTTCCTCAGCCCCAAAATGCTTTGTTCGGTTCGGCCGCTTTTAAGGCCAAAACTTCAACTTTGGCTTTGTTAGTTGTAAATAGAAAAATACACAAAGAATCCAATTTTAAAATTTAAAATTAACTAACAAATGTATCCATATTAGTCCGAGCTGTGGCTGCCTCGATAACTTTCTGGCCACTTTACGAGCACATGGCGCATGGCTCACATCAACATGAATTGGTCATGTATACAGAAAGTTTTAATCTGTTGGTCCCTGGAGCAGGCTTAACACTGAGCCCCCAGCTCAAAGATAAATCTGAAGCGCAACTTAAACAACAGACTCATATTTATTTCGGGCATAAAATGCTTGGAAGTGTGCGTAAAGTTCATATATTCATATGCATTGTTAAAGAGTTGGCAACTTATATATATTCATGTGTATGAACATAGAAAAGCCTGGCAAACAGACACTTGCCTTTGGGTAGGGGCGTGACTGTTGGCGGTTAGGGGCGTTGTAGTTTGCCAAACACTAATTGAAACGCTTACAACAGCCACAGACACACACACACACACACACACACACACACACACACAGGCGCGAGCACACAAACAATAAAGGCGAGCTAATGTGACAGCTGAAAGAGAGATGAGTACTCGCATGCCCAGAGACCCATGGACGCATGGACGCGTGGACTTGGAGCTGGGCATGAGGTCTACTTTTTGTTGCTGTGGGCAGCCGCAAAGCAACAAGTCAGAGCGACAGTTCATTAGGGATCAAATTTAAGTCAACACACGCACACGAAACTAGTGAAAATTGTCTCATTAGTACAAGTATGCACACACATATACACACACTCTAACACACACACACACACACATACACACACACACACACACAAAAGAGGCCATAATTTTCAGCCAGTCGCCTGCTAATAAAAATGTGCACAAAGTTGTCGATGTAGTCGTTGTCGTCGCCCTACACTCCCAGCCCCTCTCAATTATACCCTCTCCACACATGCCAATGGAAACCGTTTTTCTCACCAAACACACCCAATGTAAAGAAAGTGTACAAAACTATGGAAAACTAGCAAGAAGCAAAAAGAACATACACATTTTCGGGTACTGTGGTACGCAAAGCGCCAAATATGCCTATGCATATATTATTTATAAAGAATAGTTACCTTTTATGTCCAGTGAATGTTAATAATTTAATTTTTATAAATATATATGTGAAAATGTAACATTTTTAAGTAGAGCTCTGTGCCCATATAATGTATGGGTATTGTAAAATTTATGCAGTAATTCAGGCGCGCTCTTTTATGCCACTGTGCAGTGCGGTTGTCTAAGTGTAGCAACAGCCCATAAGTGATAACGGTCTACGACTGTGTGTGTGTGTGCGTGTGTGAATTTGCTGGCCTGTCATTTGGCCGTTGGGGTCGTTGTCTCTTGTAACTGCTGCTCGACTGCTTTTTTGCGGCCCGCTCCGCTGAGCTAGCTTGCTGCGACTTGCCTGGCTGGCTGGCTGCCTGCCTGATTGTTGTAGCCACTGATAAGCGCTGCCAGTTGTTGTTGTTGTTGCTGTTGTTGCTACTATTGCTTATGCTTGTTGACGCGCCGGGTGGCGGGTGGCGCATGAAATTGTTGTAATGCCTGCGGCGGCAGCGTAGCAATGTCGTCGACTGCTCTAATGCGAAACGTCAATGTTTGTGGAGCAGCACTCACATGCTTAAGTGTTTGTGTCCGTGTGTGTGTGTGCATGTGTGTGTGCATATGTGTGTGTGTGCGTGTGTGCAGTTTAAATTGCCTTTTTCGTGTCATTCACAAGGCAGACACGAATTTGTGCCAACACAAATGATAAATTTGCATGTGCCCATGTCTCCAATGCCTCCGACAACAACAGCAACAACAACCACGACAACAACAACAACAACAACAACTGCCATACGTAAGTGTATTCATGTGTTTTGCATGCGTATTTGTGTTTGTTTTATGTGTCATTCGAATTGTCTTTTGCCGCCGTGCTGGTTGCGCTTATCGCCCATGCCATGCCACAGAAAAACAAAAAAAAACAAAAAAAACAAAAATACAAACAAAAAACAATAAACACATACAAGTACAACAACAACAAATGGCATGCATAATTACTTAAGCCCCTTGGTTTTAGTGTGTGCGGCTTTCAGATTAAGCCCCGAAAATACTTGGCTATGGCGGCATAGCGCCCGATGGCCCTTAAGCCATCACATTAATTGCTTCAGCAAATAAGTCAGGCAGCACACACACATAGACAGCACACACACCGGCACAAAATATTGTATTCAGTTTTGCAGTTAGTTGACATGCATATTTTAAATCGTTTGCTTGTGGTTAACCGACAAAGCAATCAAGTGAATGTGCTCCAATCGGGCATGCACAGCTCGCACATGCTCTGTTTTTTTTTTTCAACTAATTTAATTAGTTATGCACAGCATGCATTTTATTGTACCTTAGATAGAAAACTAATATACATTTAAGTGAAGCCCAAGGCGTCTTCAGTTTAGAGGAATTATTTACACACTTGCGCTCAAATTAATAATGTATGATACACATTAACCACATTTTATGCATTCAAGCCATTCAAAGGCCAATGCATCTTTATTAAACTAGCTTTACGCTTTTCACTTGACATGAAATCAACATATTAAAATGTCAAAAATAGAGTAAAAACCAGACAA